GTATGTTATAAGAAAATAAAAAAATTAAATATATAACTTAAATTATTATAGTTATTATTAATATATACACAATCAAAATAATAAATTGTAATTATTAAATTATTTATTTATAGTATAATAATAAATTGTTAAATAATTTATACATAAATATATATTATAAATTATATAATAAAATTTAAAATAATTTGCGATGGAATTAGCAACATCATTATGATGGAAAGTTTTGTGACAAAATTTTTCATCATAAATGCGGTGATTTGTTAATTTTTTGACATTAACCTAATTAATTAAATTAAAATATATATTACAAGCAAAATGGCATTTGTTTCTTTTGATATTAATTCTGTAGATTGGGACCGGAATTCTCTGATAATGACAACCTCAAACTCAAAAACCATTGTCCTAAAACTAGAACCCACTGATTATAAGTAGACTAATTTTGGCGACACAAATTGTTATATCTCACTACTAAATATATTTATAATTTTGAATACAATATGCTCACTATAGATATGGTGTAATTCTTAATCATAAGTTCGACATTTTTATGATCTAAAAAATAATACGAATATTATCGATACATCCATACTCCTTCCTATTTATATAGTCATATTTTAGAAACCTTTCATGTTCTTATTGATAAATAATTTTGCAAAACCTATATAAAATAATTAATCTTTATTATCCTTGGTTTGAATATTATTAAGAAATATATTTATAATGAAAAAAGGGATTCAAGGGGATGAGTAAGATTAGGTTAGAATTTATTTCATTTAATTAAGGATACTTTTATGATAAAAAAATAATTAAGCGTATTTTTAAAAGATGAAATAATTGTAAAAGTATCAATTAATTTTAGCTAAATTTTTAGCCTTTAAAATTAGTCAAGAGTGACGCATAAGTAATAAGAGCAAGAACATTTAACTAGCACACATAAAGCAAGTCAAGCCTACTTAAGAAGATTTTTTTTTAATGACTAATTTGGGTCGTCAGTAAATCATACATATAATTCACTATCACCATATCATATCAATATTAAACAAACTTGATTATAGTAAAATTTGGTACATCAGGCATGCACAGTTATAAGTATCTATATATATTTAGGCTAATTTCGTGGCTTACTATCACAATTGTTTAGAAAAAAACATTGAAAAAATTGAAATCAATTAATTTTAAATAGGAATTTTGGTATGTGAAGAGACTGATGTAGACCGGGCAAGGTTAGCTACCAACCTGAATACACCTATCTTCACGTACTGAAAGCAACACAGGCTAACCGGGTATAAAAGAATGCGGGTTTTGATCTTACATTGAGAATATATCAAACAAATTTTAAAAATAAAATAATAAATAAATTTTATGTATTTAAGTATGTCCATCTAAAATATTCCTTAAAATAATATGATGATCAAAGTAAATTTGTAAAATTTAAAAACTCAATAACAATATTTGCTCCTACATATAGAGTTGGCCAAACAGGCTGAGATCATTAGGCCTGTCCGTTTAACCCTAAAATAACTAAGCCATGCTGCTGAATGAGAGGGATATAAATGAATTTAAGTTTAAAAGGTTGGCTCCTGGGGCCAAGGGTTGGCACCTTTAGGCCTAATTTTTTTGAAAAAAATTCATGTAAACAATAAAAAACATTAAGGTGCTTTTCATATTTTAAGTTTCTTATCAACAACAACAATTACTTTTGATTATGCTTTTTATGTATATTTTAAATACTTTGTTAATTGAATTTATATTTCAAATATTATTTTGTTTTATTAGTATTCAAGTGATATGTCTTTCTTAGTCCTTTACAAAGTATGATGTAGGATAATAAAAATACATGAGCATGTATGACTTTTTTTATGAACAATTCTGAACTAGAGAATTATTTAGATAAACTAATGCTAAGTCTCATAATTCAAAAGAATTAGATATTGAGTTTGTAAAAGAATAATCATTATCAATTTTCAATTCTTTCAGGGATGACTACTGATATTCTTAATATTTCAATCACTACTATGACTAGTAAATCAGTTTTTTGTTTTGATTCACATGTTTTACAAAAATATTGAAGTTCTTTTCTTCTAAATAATGTTTAAACCTACTGTTTATACTCACTCGTAATTGGTTGCATAATTTTGATAACATTTTTATGATATTGAATTTGAATATTTAAACTTTATAGATTTATTGTGGATTTACTTAAATTTTTTTTAGACTTAATTTTATATGTAATATCTTTTTTTCTTGGAATTCATATTTATTAAGCTTTTAAATAAAAAACATAAAAATATCAGGGCTAAAACTCACAGGCCGACCTAATAGCCCTAAGATTAAGGCCGGGCTTCGAAATGAAGGCCTAAAGCAATTTGGGCTTTTTGAGCCCGACCTAAGGCTGGCCTTTAGGATCAAGCTGACCCTAATTGCTAACCTACATAATATTAAATATGAAATTAAATTAATTTTTTTATAAAAATAATATATTGATTTCTTAAATTTTTCATAAATAACAACAAAATAATTTATCAGGTATGATTATAAGAAGAAAAAGACAATCTCATAAAATCATACAATTTTTTTCAAATAAATTAAAGCAATGATACGGCCCATTTATTATAGTGCATGTCAAAACTATTGGTATCCTTATTTGATTTGACTCTGTTGACTGTTTAGGAATAAATTTAAAAAAAAAATATACATAAATCTATTTGAAAGCTTAATTGTTGATATTAAAAAAGCTGTATATTTTTTCATCGCTTATAGATTTTTTTAAATTGGACACATCCTATTTGAGGCATAATTGGCACTTCATTTATCTAAGATTAAAAAATAAATAATTTTTGGATAATTTAAAAATTGAAAAAAAAAGAGATTTATTTTGTAGAGATTTTAGAAAAAGTAAACATTATTTTATATTTGATAATAATAATAAATTAAAACAAACAGGTTCTAAGTGTGGGCATACATTCCTTTATTACTTTCTTTTACTTTTTTAAATGTTGCGTTAGTGGATGAATGTGGTTGGAAAATAATTCCCATTAATGAATTCCGCTGGGCTCTGTGGGTAAGTAATAGCGCGTGCTTGCATTTTGCAGAGGAAACTTTTTTTTCCCCCTGCGCTCGCAATGATCTACAATATTATATATATTTATGTATGTACTTTCTACTATATATATATATATATATATAATACGGATAATTTGTCTAAATAGAAAGTATATTGATCAGCTTTCTATACGAGTTTAAGAATGGGTGAAGAAAATCTTTTTTTAATCAGTGAAAAAGTATATTCTATAATAGTGAGAACCACTTTTTTACATGTATGGTGCTTGCAATGTTTGTGCAGGGTATAACATATTTTTTTAATAAAAAAATATAAGACATTTTTTAAGACATATATATTATATACTCCCATTATTAAAAAATATAAGACACATATGTTATATATTCTCTTTGTTAAAATATATATGACATTTTTTTAAGATAAGAAATTGAAAAATATAAAACATTTTGGGTCTTTCAAAATGCAATTAATAAATTTTTTTCAAAAATACCCTTAATTAATGAGTGTAACTAATAAAGTTTTTTAATTGATATATCTTATTAAATAACCATAAACATTAAAAGGTTTGTAATTTTTAAGTCAAGTAACTTATTCATTTGGGAACATAATTCGATTGAAAGTGTCTTGTAATATTAAAAGAGTCGAATATCACATTGTTTGCACTAAATTTGTAATATTTTTTGAGACCCAAATTCAACACAAGTTAACGTGTTTAGAACGAATTTCATTTAAAATTAATAATACTTTTTCTTTAATTTAAAGGGAGAGAAAAAGCTTGAGTATCAAGAAAGCTACTATGGAAATGTTGTTGAAATGAAAAAAATTAATAGCTTCTTAATAAAATTGTGGGAAGCGAAGATCATGAAGTAACCAATAATCTTGTAATCTAGTAACATATATATAAATTTTTTCGTAAGTAGGAGATCACCAGTTCATTTTGTAATTAACTTCAGGTCGTTAGTGGCTGTTCCTCTTATTAAAAAAAATCAGGATTTGATATCTTAAACAAGTTTGAAAAATTATACTCCCTCCGTTTAAAAATGTAAGGCATTTTTTTATGAGTGAAATGTTCAAAAATGTAAAGTATTTTTATCTTTCGAGGTGTAGTCATTACTTTTTTTAAAGTATTCTTATTAATAATGACTTTATATTTATTGTAGGGTATTTAATAGGGGTAAATGTAAAAAGATAGGGTTAGTTTAAAGTACGTAACTATTTTATTGGGGTGAGATTCAGTTAAAAATATCTTACATTTATAAATAAAGGGAGTATATAATTACCTGGATCAATAGATAATTCATGAACAAGTTTCCTCTAAAACAACTCCACTTTATAAAACACTCGAACCCAAAGTATGTGAAACAAATATTTGGAAGTTTGATTGTCAACCCTTTACATACATGCAATAAAATTCATTAGAAAGGTTTTATTAAGGAATAATCTATTACATGTTTTTCACATTGCTATATGTATCTTTCTATTGAAAGTAATACATATTTATGTTCAAGGCATGATTAAAAACTAATTTAAGTATCTCTCTCAATGAGATTTGAACATTGATTCATCACATTGTGATGAAGAGCTCACTAACCTTTTCAGCTAGACCTAAACCTCATTGATGAATAATATATTACATGTTGTAAAGTTTATAAAAGGTTTATTTAAACGTTGTATAATATCACATGTAGTAAAGTTTTCTTTAAAATGAAAACACAAAAATGAAGCGCCGCAACATGACCTGCAAATAATCAGCCCCATGATTGCAAGGAATCAGCTTCCTTGGTTTGAAAGAACCTTTTGTTAAAAAAATGGTGAAATGCTAGCAGACACCAAAGTCACTTAACAAGCACCATGGCCACAAAACCACATTTCTGTACGTACGTCTCCATATATAAATAAACTCCTTCTACATTTTTGTCATCATCACACTCACAAACACTTCTCTGATCTGTGTCTCTCTCTATATACAAATAATCTAAGGTCGTCGGGATAGAAGGAAGATGGCGGAAGGGTTGAAGCCGGCCGTGTTAATGGTGACAGTGCAGATAACATTTGCAGTAGTGAATGTGCTGTACAAGATCTCTGTCTATGATGGCATGAATGTCAGAGTTCTTATTGCTTATCGTTTCATTTTCGCCACTGCTTTCATGGCTCCTCTTGCTTTCCTCTTTGACAGGTCCTCTCTCTCAATATTTCTACTCCATGTGCGTTTACATAATGTATTTAAATTCATTTTAAATATTATACACATGGCATGAGAATGTCATTGACAGGTCCATTGGACTATAGTGAAAATATTGTTTGAGTTTAAATGTCAAAAATACCCCCGAATAACATGTAAATGTGACATCTAACAATTAGATATTGACTTGTCAAAATCTGAACGTGTACTTATCAACTGGAGAATTGTTGCATGTTAATATTTAAAGTTAAATTAGAATTGTGCAAGTAAATATGACATGTCAATTAATTGCAGAACTTTTACATGTTATTCTTAATCTATGTGGGTATAGATAACATGTCCTCTCTAACTGACTGGGATAGATATATTCCTTACCACAAACTTATACTTGTGACTTGTGAGTATTGGTTTTTAGATCACATGTAGTTGTCTTAAATTAACAATTTAATTACAGACTTTTGAAGCATAGAAACCAAATTAAAGATTCGATCAAATGATAAGCAATATGTATTTTTCCTTTCAATTATGTATAAACATTAGTTAAGAATAATTTTAAAATTTAAAAACTTTTATTATAATCGCTTCTTAATAATGTAATTATTTAAGATCTAATATTACAGAGTTATATTTAAATATTGTAAGGATTAATTAAAAGTAGCTTCGCAACATTATTCTATTTCATCTACAAAATTTTAATTTTTGACTTTACTCAAAGAGAAATGAGCCATATCCAATTCAACTGATCATGGTTAATTATTTAGATATTGTTAATGGGATGAAGTTTAAAATCATTCAGACTCATCATGAACTGCATTTTATTCCGAATATTAATTGGTGGGTGGAGTTAATGATATTAAATTGTTAATTAACTTTTGGAACCCATAAGATGACTAAAACATAAACCTACTAGGTGATGGGATAATAAAATGGAGTAAAACCTTCTATATTTTGCTGTAAAATAAAACCTATTGTTTGAATTCTTTTTTTTTTCAATTAATTATCTGCAGGAACAAGAAATCAAAGATGACCTGGACCGTGCTGTTTCAAGCGGCTCTCTGTGGCTTATTTGGTAAGTGAAAAGAAATACAAAATTGATTTATAATGAAAAAGAAATTAAAATTATGTGTATAAATTAATCTCCAACTACTAAAGGTGATCAAAAGTATGGTTTGGTTCAATTTTGATCAACCAAACCAAAACCAATTAGTTTGCATTAAAAAATGATTTAGTTTGGTGTTTGTTTATATATTAAATTAAGTTTTAATATATGTTTTAATATATAAAATCATAGCTTCAAGTCACAATCTCGACTTTTATTCATGAATGAAATAAACATCAGGTTCAAAATAAAAATATTCAAATTTTACTATTAATAAAACACCAAAATATATACATTTGTAAGTAACACAAATTAAATTTCATTGCAAATTGTCTTGATACCTGTGATTAAAAGTAACTTGTTTAAAATAAAAAAAGAAAATTCTATATTTAAAATTATTTAAAAGATTATTTTTGACGTAACATGAGCAAATGTATTTGACTTTCTAATAGTAAAATTGGAAAAGAAAGAGTGAGCGATTCTATTAAAATATTTTAAATTTAGAAAGTATAGTTCAGATTTGGTTGAAGTTAAAAAAAAAAACTAAAACATGAATTAAATCATTTGGTTTTCAAATTTATAAACCAAATCAAGCCTTACTAATTATTTGTTCTATTTGATTTTTCTTTTAGATTAGTTTGAATTAGTTTTGTGTAGTCGATTTTGTTTGATTTTGCTCACCCTTGCCAACTACTACTAATAATAATAATCTGTTAATAAATAAATAATTATTAATATATTACAGGGGGACGTTTCACACAAAATTTATATTTAGAGACGCTGGCATTAACATCAGTGACGTTTTCTTCAGCGATGTCAAATCTTAATACTGTAATGACCTTCCTTTGGCGCTCTGCTTTAGGTATGTATTTAATTATAACCTTCATCATTATTTTCATTACTATTTTTTCGTTTTAAAAATCAATTACTAGTAGACCTCTTGTAAAGAAAAGACAAAATGTAAAATGAACGAATCTGTTTATTAAATTGTATAATTTTTTCATTTCTGAATTTATGAAAATTATTCTACAGGAAATTATTGCAATTAGGTCCTAACTAAAAGTTTAAAAGAAAATCACTTTCAAGTCCGACTCACTCTAGCAATTCAAATATATAAAAGTCTCTCATGAAATCACAAATTATTCTGAAATCCATTATCCTTTACTAAAATGGTCAATTTGTTATCAAGTAATGCTAGATAGTTGTTAGTGAAGCTGTTTAGTTGATAATCAAAAACAATAATAATTAACAACTAATTTAATAGTAATTGATAATTTTAGTAGAGGACATGAGATTCCGAATAATTTTGTAATTTTAGCAAACTTTTCTGTATTAGATTACTAATTATTTGAAAATTAAGATTAATTTGACCGAAAATTAATTAATTCATCTGTCTCATTTACAAGGTAAGCCTTTTATATGTGAGTGGGCCTATGAGTTATTACTTATTTTAAAAAAAAAAAAATTTAGGAAATGTGTGTAATTCTCCCCCTCTTATACTTGTAAAACAAGCAAGCCCACACTGTGACAATATGGCTCGTTAATTCCGACGTGGGCTTTTTGTGACTTTTTTTTGTATTTTTTATTTTTTTCAGGCTATAATATATTTTTAATTCTCTAACTTTATATAATATTTTAATTTGATCACTTTGTTTTATAAAATAAAATATTTTAATTTTTTAAGTTTAAAAAGTTGCCTGTATTTGAAACCTTCATGTTGCTATTGCATAAAATTATGATCAGATTGGAGAGATTAAATCTGAAAGCAGCGGCAGGGAAGGCTAAGATCATGGGAAACTCTGATTGGAATTGGTGGGGCCATGCTGCTAACATTCTTCAAAGGTGCACAGATACCCACTGCCTCCTTCCACGTCAACATCTTGCATCACCAACATGGCCACGTGGCATCATCGAATTCTTCCCCAGGTGGCAAACCATATTAGGTGCCATCTGCGCCTTAGGCAGCAGCATCTCTTTCCTCTCTGGCTTAGGGCTGTGCAAAGTCTCCCAGTCCTGTCTGGTCCAGTCCAACCCGAGATGGTCTCAGTCTTGTTCGGTCTGTATAGTCACTGGTCCTTCAGGACCAAAAGGACTAAAAAGACCAGACTATTTTTTCGGGTTGGACTGGACAAAAGAGACCAGGCATCCGGACCACTTGATCCAGTCCAGTCCTATTAATTTTTTTTATTTAATTATAATTAATTTATTTTTGACAAATGTTTTAAAGTGTAATTGATGCTAGGAGATGATTGCATAAAGATTTATTAAGTTTGTTTCTAAATTGTTATTGTAATATAGTGTTGTTGAATTTTTTGAGTACTGTTTTTATTAAAGTTTATAAATTTAAATAATTTAGACTATAACAAAAATATTTTTTTTCTTATTGTTAGAAATTATTATGGATTTATTATTATTATAAGTATTTTTACTATCTAATTGAGTTTATTATGTTGGAATGGATTATTGCCTTCATAGAATAAAAAGAGGGAAAAAAAGCTAAGTGAGTACTGGACTGACAGGACCAGTCTCCCAGTCCTATGGACCAAGTTCGGTCCTGTTAATCTCGGGTTATTACTGGACAAGACTGGATTACGGGTTGCCTAACCCAGTCTTTTTCATGAAAGAGACCGGACTTCGGGTTAGGATGAAATCCAGTGCCGTCCAGTCTTTTGTGCAGCCCTACTCTGGCTCATCGTTCAGGTCCGTATTTCACACGAAATCTAAGATGCAACCCACACTAGTCATTGACACATGCAAAAGGATTGAAGTTGAGTGATATTATAGCCCGTTTCATTTCTGTTTTCTATTTTAAAAGCAAAAGAAAAAAATAAAAAACTATTGAATAAATATTTTCAAAAAAATTCTATTTTTTTAATAAAAACATATTAGAGCTTTCTTTGTTTTCTTTTTGTTTTTAAAGGACACTATATTTGGTTTTTTGCTTTTAAAGCACACTCCATAGGCTACCACTACCATCATTCAATTTTTAATTCTAAATTATTTTCAAATTAATATAATCAAATAAATTTAAAAACAAAAATGAGAAGAGTAGTTTTTTAAGAAAAAAGGGAGAAAAGTCAAACTAGGCCTCTATTGTTGTTTCCCATATACTCCCTTCATGCCAATAGTCTTGTAACCTAATGGCATAAGCTCTCTAGTAAGTGGGAAGTTACGAATTGGATCCTTCTTTTAACTTCAAACAATTAATGCCTATCTCTCTAATTCAAAAAAAAAAAATACTTCCTTCATTCATTATTATAAGGTATTCCTAACTAAGTTACATATTTCAGTTGATTAGTTAATTATCTTTAAAGTTAAACATTCTTTCCATATTTCTCTTTATTTAATAAGGTGCCTCAATTTGATATCATGCCTCTAATTAAGGATATTTTTAAAAAAAATCTTATTAACTACACTTGATACACAAAGTATCTAATATTTTTTAATAGAATACTTTAAAAGAAGGTAGGCTAAAGCATATTTTCATTCCTTTAACATACACAAGGTTTTATTTTAGTCCCTTAATTTTATAAAGTATTTTTTAGTTTTTTAAACCCTAATACCATTAGTTTATAAAACATAGTTTATTTTAAATTTTTAAATATCAACAAACATTCTCAAATATTAACATATTAATTTTTTAAATAACAATGATTAGCACAAAAAATAATCATATAAAATTAATAGTATTAGGATTAAGGGATGGGACTGAAATTATATTTTATAAAATTAATAGATTAAATTAAAACTTTATATAAAGTTAAGGAATTAAAGTATTGATGTGTTATAATATTAAAGGAAGGGAATATTTATGATGACGTCATTTAGTGTCTTGCTGATAGAGTTAAGTGAGCCCAATATATTGCATAGTATTTAAAACGTGGACTTGTGTTTTGCGTGTTCAGAAAATGAAATGAGTTCCACTATTCATTGTATATAAATATTTCTTTTGCTATATATTTTAGATATAGACTTTATTAATTATACTGTTGATGGTTGATTAATTGTAAGTTTGTGACAGAGTAACATGAGTGAGAAGTACAAAAGCCATTACACAAGCACATTTTTAATGTCTCTCATGGCTTCCTTTATATCTATTGCCTTTGCTCTCTGCTTTGAGAGGGATTGGAGCCAATGGAAGTTGGGTTGGAATATTAGGCTTCTCACTGTGGCATATGCGGTATATACTTATATTTCTTTTTTTTTCTTTTTATTGGTTTTAATGCTTGTAAAATTATTTAAAAATGCAAACTAAGTTACATGTGTGTGTTATAAATTTTGTAAAATCCCATCAGTTTCTTTTTTATTTTTATAATTTAATTAAAATGCATGTATTCCTTTGATGAGTAATAAAAATAAATTATATTCAATTTGTAGAAATTTTTAACTTGAATTAAAGTTTATATATATATTATATTGACTATTAATAAATAGGTATGTAAGTGAATTAATATAAAAAAGATCACTCACATTAAATCAAGGTGGTTTTAGACCTGACTTCTACTTATACTGAGTTAGCCTCAACAGGACTCAATTTTATAAATGTTAAGCATTTATGTTTAATTTAATAAATAAAGATTATTTAATATTTAATATTTCTTTGATAATTGTTTTTCGTAAAAATAATTTTTTATTTAAATTCTAATTTTTAAATATACAAAATAACACTATCCATTTATTTTACAGGAATGGTGCCAGCAGGATTAACGGTGGGTAATGGATTGCATGGTGTGTCCACAAAAGAGGACCTCTTTTTGTGTGTCAATAGTCAGCCCTCTCTTGCTCGTCATTTTGGCCTTTGTTGGATCTCTCGTATTAGAAAATGCTTCATCTGGAAGGTATATTTACATTTTCAGGGAAAATTAAGTGAATAAATAGGTGAAAATTTGTGAAGAAAGAAAAAGTTACTTAAAATGTACTGCAGATCTGCAATTGAGTTTCTAAAATTATCAATCCAAAATTTTCAAGATATCTTGAAAACTCGATTGCAGAAATGATCTTCAAGTGCTGGTCTTCCTCCTAAAATTTTCACTCATTTATTTAGCCCTTAGACCCAATTTCCCTATATATTACATTAGTAATGAAAATAAATTACATTATACTTTTCATAAATTTATATGGAAGTGTGAAACTTAATATATCGGTGTATATGTGCAGTGTAATTGGGGGTGTGTTGATAGTGGTTGGATTATATGCAGTTCTATGGGGCAAAAGCAAAGAGATGAAAATGAAGGATCTTTTAGTGCCATCACAGATCGAAATCATCGTTGAATCTTCTCGTGAAGAGACAAAACCAACCATAAAAATAGCATTCACACCCTCAAATGATGCTATGGAACAGGCAGATCCAAAAAATGGAAGTGTTAGAGGGCATGATGATGCACAAAATGGAGCAGAAGAAAAATAGATAAATATTTTTATTTAAAAAATAGAAAGAATAAAGAATAAAGAATTAGTTAGTACCATCTATATAGCATAGAAAGTTTGAGAACCATCCACAAGCCGTGCTACATGCTCTACTCAAGTGTAGTGTGAATGCGCCAGGCAGAAATTAGATTAGTGTGTGCTTGTAATCATATTCAGATTAAGGACCTTATACATCTTGCAACTTACACTTGCTGGTTATTTACCATTGTGTTCTTCGATCAATTGGTTGGAAAATTGATCTAGCTTAACTGAAAAATTCAAGTTTAAGTTAAAGATATGTAACAGCAATTAATTCTTGATGAAAAGTATGTCATCTTAGAGACGCCCACAGGTTGTTGACCAGATTAGTCTGGATCAACAACTAGAGATAACAAAACCACAAAAAAAAAAAAAAAATATTTTCTCTAATTTTGCAACTTTACTGGCTCAATTTTCAACGATAACTCATTTGGCCTTTAATATAAACTATGTCATTTTTCTTATAAGATTTTCCCCTTCACTATATGTTAATGTTACCAAGCTGAGGAGTCAGAGATTGACGTAGCATGCAAGAGCATGAGGGAAATTATTGTGCAGATGAGCTAAAACTAAAAGCAGTCATGAGTTTCTTGAGGTTTAAATTTGGTTCAACATCCCTATACCTTTTGTCCAATATTTATTACAAGATCATTAAAAAAAATCATAAGTTAATATATAAATAAAAAAAGAACAAGAATAGTTAAGCCAATCCAGAAATAAAAGCTCACACTATCTGGCTGGACCAACAAAGCAAACCATCCCTGCAAAAGAGGAACTGAGGAAGAAGATAACACAGATTCTTTTTAACATGGAGGAATGTCATCAATAAACAAATCTACAGCTTTTAATCCAACAAAAATTTACAGCATAAGCATGTACGTTCGTTTATATACATTTAAAATCAAGTACCCATCATGATACACAAGCATATTCATACCTTCCATAGATACACATTCTGTCATGGCAACATTCTTTGCTTGTCAAAAAGAGAAGTATGCGTCATGATAAGTCTCTGAAACCCTATTCACCTAAATGCACATCATACCATTTTACAATCTAGTGAAAACACAGCCTTTCTAACACGATATCACATCCTTATCACAATTTTGGCGTCAAATATTCGATATCGTCTACTGCCCCAGATGTCAAGTTTAGAAGTGTAGTAAGACTTGAGATACGCCTGATATACCAAACACACCTGCACCAGACTTTAGAAGTGTAAACGAGTTCATCTTCTGTATCAAGATGGTATTGCTAGGATAGCCACCAATAGATAAAGACATGACCACACAGAATATAGATGACAAGGTAACAGATGAGACTTCGTATTTTGGAAAATTTAAAATTATTAGGCAAGAACAAAGTCTTATGTGCGCATCCAAAAACCAACAATTGCATTTATAAATGCTAGAAACGAACATCGCCTCTTAAAAAGTAATGAAGCATGATTACTCGAATTCAAGTAAGATCCTTAAAAGTTAACTAAGAATTTACCCTGGTTTGGAGGGAAGAAAAATAGAGAAGAGAATATTAGGAAGAAAACTCACAAAAATAGTTTAAATAAAAATTTACTACTTTTGGGGTTTTCTCTCCTTTTTATTTTCCTCCACTTTTCTTTCTATTCAAACCAAGCCTTAACGATGTTGCCAGGAATCTACAATGATGAAGCAGCTAAAAATATTTGTTAACCCATCATCAGAGCATACAAAAACATGGACCTAGCCGTTGAATACTCTAGGGTCAGGCGCATCACATAAATCCCACGTTTAGAGGAAGTTTTCAGGTGACCATGGCATTGCGGCTGCTACTCAACAATACACTTGTATTGTCAATAATTCTTCAAGCCAATGTAAAGAGAGAGAAGTATGTAACAGCAACAAATGCAAATGTCTAAGATAAATAGGTACTTTTTTTTTAAGAATTCAGAGCATTAGTAGGCAGTATAGACACTTTTTATCAATTAAAAAAAAGCAAAGAACATAGAAAAGAGTAACAGAGTATTTAAATTGTATAACAACATTATTAAAGATAGAGTAAGCAATGGAATTAAAGCTCCGCAAATGTAAGGCCGAACAAAATGCATTATGATACCTCTGAATGGGTGGGAACATCCATTAAAGTATCCAATCAGGCATAATCATGATCAACCACCGTCAGGGGGGAACAAAATTGTACAAGAAAATATTGTTTTGATAATCATAGCATTGAAACAAAACAATAATGAAATGCACATACGAACCTGTAATATGTGAAGGCCAAGGAAAGCTCCAAAGAGGCATCCTTCTCAGGTTCTTAGAAATTCGCATCACCATACAAACTATCTCAAAAATGAATACAAAGACAACAAATCGAAACATCAGTTAATTGATCTACATATCCAATTGTCTTATGAGCCAACAGAGTGGACAGCCACGTTTCGTGCTGTTTTATGATATCATCATTCCATATGGCCGAAGCTTTGTAATGGAGTCAACACGCCATGCCATAGTCCTGCATTCACTTCAAGACGCATGTTGAAAAATGTGACCCACTTGCCATTTTCTAAAAGTTTTAGATGGTTCTTCTCCATGCTTTTGCCTTACGCTACTCTCAAGATGGACCCAACGGTAGCAAAAGTACACAACAATCCTCTTGGCATAGGCACTAGTTCATGATGTAAGGGAAGAGGATTGTGCAGTTCATCTTCTAACCTGCAATTTGTGGAAAGACCATCGACTTTCTTTGACGATGGTGCAATGCCATCAGCAACTACTAACTAATATATGCTACACAAAATATATAATTGATTGTGATATTTCGTCTAGCCCAATTATTGTTCGGAAAAAATGCAGAAGATTCAACAAGCAAAAGGTCAATTCCAGGCACTACTACATCACCCTATATTAGAATAATTATTGGAGTATATGTTTATTTTCAAATTTTTGTCGCCAATTTACTTTTAATTTATATCCTATTTTATATCAGGAGGTACTATTTTCCTATTTTGTGGTTAGTTTATTTCCTAATATATACCCAAAGGCTTGGCTGTTTATGGAGCACAATAATGTTGTGTAATCCAAATAGCTGACCTTACTTAGTGGAATAAGACTTCTTATTATAAATGCCGTTACTCTTGGGGTTGCTCACCGTTAAGGTTTTCTTTTATTGCTTATGAATACCAAAAGCTGTGTAATGTAAGACATCATGAATTTGATCAATAATAATTCTGCGTTTGAGTTTTTTTTCTCTCTTAAATAAGTTAGGCTCTAAATTTCATTTGTCTTGTATCCATTGAGATAATTGGTTATATCCAGAAATTATTTGTAGCATATTGAAATGCACAAATAAAATACATATCATGTGCAACATGTAAAGACTAACCACCTGTAAAAGACTTCCTAACAAGTTCAGCATATAAATTTTCTTTCGCACCTGGGTTAAAGGCTCTTTCCAAAGGAATTTATGCCCACCTCTTCCCTTGATTATATTCAGTTTGGACAGGAATTGTATATGTATCCCTTTGATTTAAAAGACACAAGCCCCAAGCTGGAGATGGTAATGACACTTGTTTTGATAAATTAGTTTTCTATTTCTTAAATTAGCTTCTTATTTTATAATTGTCTGTTGGATGTGGGCCAACTTGACCTAAGCCCATCTGCTAGTTTAACCTAACCCTAATAGGATTTATTGTTAGTATCTTTATCTTATTAGAAATATTTTTTTTACATATTTATAGGGATTATAGAATCAGATTATCTGCTGTTATCTTTTCTAGTTATTAGAGCAGATGTGATACGATATTATCAAATCTTTGCTCTTCTATATGTATGCTCCTCTCTGTTGAATGGAAGTAAGCCTTTTCGCACTGCATATTCTCATGGCATCAAAGCGACACCACTCATGTCATATAAGGCAGTGCTAACGGGTCCTAGAGCCTTCGCCACCAATGGTCTAGAAACTCTCCAGCACAAGGAGGGGGCTTAAATGGGGATGCTGAAGGGGGTGGTGCGAGTTCTCTTGGGGATTCAGCAATTTGCACACGGACTCTCTCTCAACTTATCATCAACCATTGTCTAAATGGGAACAATTACTTGCAATGGTCCAGAAACGTGTTACTATAATATGATAAGGTACGAGGAAAGCTGTAAGGCTCTTATTCAGCTTCCCTCTTCAACTCCTTTACCAGCTGCAAAATCCTCTGCTATGGTGGCTTGAGGCAACCAAGGGGGAGATTCAAAAGGGAAGAAGTCTCTCCATTGTGATCATTGCAGCAAGAATGGTCACACATGAGAGAATTGTTGGAAAATACATGGTAAGCTAGCCCACCTGAAGCAACAGAATAAAAGTGACAATAAAGGTTTCATGGCCAGTCAAACTGCTAGTGAAGGAAATTGTCTAAATAATGAAGAACTTCTTGTGCTCAAGCGAATTCTAGAAAGACATGCTCAAGAAAAACCAAGTGAGAAATCTTCCCCCTTCATTACATTGGCTCATGCAGGTACAACTCTACATACTGCTTTAAGTACTGCCACTGAAAGTAAGAACATTTGGGTAGTTGATTTTGGTGCTACAGATTACATTACTGGAAATTCCAGGACTTATTTTCTGAGTTCAATCCTTATTCTAAGCACACAGGTGTGCAAATGGCTTGTGATACTTATGCACAGGCTATGGGGTCCAAAAAGATTATGCTTTCTGTTGGGTGCTCAAAATAATAAAAGGAAACGATAGGAATAAATCTATCAAGATCATATAGAACAAGAATCCCGTTCTATACTTCTCTCAATAGCCACGCTTGGGAGAATCTCCAAAGAGTTTGAAAGACTATTTTATTAATTTTCTGATATGCTAGCTTCTAAATTGCTAGTCATATTTATAATGCTAAATATAATTTAAAATAATAAATAAAATCTAGATAACAATATCACTAAATAAACTCTCCTAAAATCTAAGTAGATAAAATACTGAATCTAAATAAAATTTAAAGAATCTTAATGACTAAATAAAATCTGAATAAATATCTCAAAATCAAATAAAAAATAAAACCTATCTTAATTTATCTTTTGCCGCTTACTTCTTGAATAAATCTGAATTTTATCCAGGATCTTATCACTTTCAGAGTCTCATGTTAAGTAATGCGTTATGTACCTCACATTCAATGCAGTGATGTAGTCTGCTGTCCATTAAATGCATGGCTTGTTAGTTAAATTGCATTGCTATCTTTGACAAATTTCACTGTGTTTTCAGGATCTAGCCTCAGGGAAGATGATTGGCAAAGCTAAGAAACACAATGACTCTACTACTTTGAAGGAAATCTAAAAAATAAAGGCTGCTTAGCTCATTCTAGTTCTAGTTTCAATTCTGTTTTTGCTTCCGCTGTTATGTCTCAAGAAGACATTTTGTTACAGTATTTTTGATTAGGTCACCCTAGTTTTGATTATATGAAAGTTTTGTTTCCAAATTCCATGACTAAAGTCAATTTTCCTCGTGATATTTGTCAGTTTGCTAAACAAACTCGCGACCCCTATCCTGCTTCTACTTATACTCCCAACTAAACCCTTCAATCTTGTGCATAGTGATGTGTGAGGTCCTTCTAAAATTGAAACTCACTCGGAAGCCAAGTAGTGTTACTTTTATTGATGATCACACCCGTCTAATGTGACTTGTTTTAAATAAAGACGAGTATGAAGTTGTTACTCTCTTTAAAAACTTTTATAATTTTGTTAAAGATAAATTTCAGACGAATATTGAAATCCTTCGTAGTGACAATGGACCTAAGCATTTGGACACATTTTAAAACCTTTCTTGCTGAAAAAGGGATACACATTAAACTTCTTGTGTGCATACACCCTAACAAAATAGAGCAGCCGAGAGGAAAAATAGACATCTTAAAGGTAGCTAGAGCCCTTTTATTAGGCAGCAATGTACCGAATAAGTTTTGGGAAGATGCAGTCCTCATGGCTGTGTATCTTAGCAACCATATCCCATCCAAAGTCCTCAAGTTCAAAACTCCTCTCCAAAGTTTTTTAGAGTTTTATCCCTACTCAAATCTCATTAATTCTCTTGTGAAAGAGTCTTTGGATGTGTAGCTTTTGTGTTGAATGATGAGGGTGGGAAACATTATTATCATTCTATTAAATGCCCGTTCTTGGGTTACTCCTCAACAAAAAAGGGTACAACTTCTATTCTCTCGTAAAAAGGAAGTTTTATGTCACTATGAGCATTAAATTTGTTGAATCACTACCATTCTATCCCTAATTACCCATTCAGGAGGAGAATGATAGTAAATGATTAATTTGAGGCACTATAGATGATCACTTAAGCAATCAATCCACTAGCATCACTAATATCAAACCTTACACATCACTTGATCCTGTCCAAGATTATACCAGTCCTATCCAGCATAATTCTGACCTTGAAATACTTATTTCTGAAGCTGAAACTTAATTTGATCACCATGCCAGTCAAGAACAACCTTCTACTAACTCTCAAGATTCTATGTTTGACTTTCATATGCATGAAACGGGAAAATCAGCCTGAAAAAGCCCACAAATAGCAAAGGTTCTAAGGCAGAGTCATGATTCACAACCTAAGGTTAATCCTGAAGATCTTCAGTGGCCTATTGCTCTTACAAAAGGCAAGAGGAGTTGCACTCAACACCCCATTGGAAGGTATGTCTCTTACGAAAAGCTTAAAACCTTTGTCACTGCTCTTGATAATGAAGAAAAACCTAGAACATTTGAAGGAGCCAGATCTGACCTGAAATGGAAATTGGCTATTGGAGAAGAATTGAGGGCCTTGGACAAAAATAAGACTTGGGAAATTGTTGATTTATCATGTGGGAAGTCAGTTGTAGGAAGTAAATGGGATTTTACTAAGAAGTACAACTCTGATGGGAGTCAAAATAAATATAAAGCACCACTAGTTGTAAAGATTTTACCCAACCTATGGCGTTTATTATCAAGAGACATTTGCACCTGTGGCTAAATTTAATACCATTAATGTTTTGTTGTCTCTCACTGCAAATCTAGACTGGCCGTTACATCAACTAAATGTTAAGAATGCCTTCTTAAATGGGGACTTGGAAGAGGAAGTGTACATGGAGATATCCTTAGGATTGAGAGGACCCGAGAATGCAAACAAAGTCTGTAAGCTCCCTAAATCCTTGTCTGGAATAAAGCAATCACCTAGAGCTTGGTTTGAAAATTTCACATGTGCTTTTAAGGGATTTGGTTATAATCAATGCCAAGCAGGCCATACTTTATTTGTAAAGAGGTCTGGCCCAAAACTAGCTGTACTAATCTTCTGTGTAGATGTTATTGTGCTAACAGGTAATGACATTGAAGAAATTGACAAAATGAAGAAGAAACTCACTGCAGAATTCAACATTAAAGATCTTGACCACCTGAGGTAATTCCTTGGATTGGAAGTAGCTCAGTCATCTAAGGGCATTAATGTCACATAGAGAAAATATAGTCTGCATCCCCTCAAAGAAACTGGTATGTTAGGTTCTAGACCTGTAGATACTCCAATGGAGCTTAACTGCAACCTGGAAAAAAAACTTGATGGAAAATCAACCAATAAAGCGAGGTACCAGAAATTGGTAGGAAAACTGATTAATTTATCGCATACTTGGCCAGATATATCCTTTGCTGTTGAGGTTGTAAGTCAGTTTACAACTAATACATAGAAGGAGCATATGGAAGCTGCCTATCATATTCTCAAATACCTCAAGACAACCCCAGGGAAGCGATTATTATTTTCTAAAGGAGACAAAAAGAGTGTAAAAATCCACACAGGTGGAAACAAGAGAACACCAGGCGTTGAAAATGAAATAGATGTAGAAGTTTACACTGATGCTGATTGGGCAGGATCCATTCACGATAGACGCTCTACTACAGGGTATTGCACCTTTGTGTTGGGTAATCTTGTGACTTGGAGAAGCAAAAGACAACCAATTGTGTCTAGGAGCTTAGCAAAATATGAATATAGGGCGTTAGCTCTTAGGATTTGTGAAGGCATATGGATTGTACAATTACCAAAAGAGCTCGGCATAGAACCACAAACTCCTATTAAAATGTGGTGTGACAGAATCACCGCCTTGAAGATTGCCAACAATCCAATTCAATATGACTGTACAAAGCATGTGGAAATTGATAGATATTTTATTAAAGAGAAAATTTAAGCTAAAGTCATAGATCTCTCCCACATTCTATTAGGAAAGCAAGTTGCAGATGTGATGACCAAGCCTTTTGTGTGAAACAAGTTTGATGAGCTAATAGGCGAGTTGGAAATAATCAACATCTATTGACCAGCTTGAGGGGAAGTGTTGAATGTGTGCTGACTTGACCTAGGCCCATCTGCTAGTTTAACCTAACCCTAATAAGATTTATTGTTAATATCTTTATGCTATTAGAAATATTTTTTACAGATTTATAGGGATTATAGAATCAGATTATCTGCTGTTACCTTTTCTAGTTATTGGAGCAGATTTGATACGATATTATCAGATCTTTGCTCTTTTATATGTACACTCCTGTCTGTTGAATGGAAGCCTTTTCAAACTGATATTCTCATTATCTTAAGAAAGATTTTATCTCGTTATTGTGAAAATCTGGCCAACCTCATGATTCTCGTCAAAATGTAAAATTAACTAGATAGATATCAAGTAATTGACAAACATGCAAGCACCAATATAATTTTCCAAACACTCTAGAATCATACTGATTGGATCAGACCTGTGGAACTTATATCAAATAGAAGGTTCCAAGATCCCCCCAAGGAAAAGAACCTTAAAACGGCACACCTATATAAGCTGTCTCAAAGTTAATTAAATCAATGTGCAGATAACTATAGGCATGAAGTCAGTATAAATATTTGGAAGTAATGTTCATTACTCCTCCCACTATTATCTTAAATAGTTTGTTCCATCCTCACATCTGTAGTTCTTAGTCAGCCCTTTCCACTGACTCCTATATCCTTTAGCCGATTATAAGAACCAATAACAGTAATAGATTTCTGTATGATTTATGCAAAATTAACATCAACGTGAGAAAAGGGTTAAAATAGCAATGTAGAACTAAATTGAAATTAACTCATTTTGCACTCATACTGTTTGGTGGCAAATCCGTACCATCCCAAACAAAGACAATCCGTTCTTGATTTGCAGTCTCACAACAGTGAAGTATCTTAATGCACAAAAAACAAATTGAGAAGCATCTGATTATCAGAACTATATAATGGTAATAACGTAAACGGTGTTTCTCTTGTTTAGTTACCACACAGGGGCCAGGGATGTACAAGAACATATGCGTGTTTCATAAGCAGATACAAAAATCAGAATAAGAAAAATACCTTGCATGCCAGACTGCAGCAATCTCCTTCCTTGGTTTCTCTTAACATTGGAAAGCCATAAGAATCTACACAGAATATGCAAACCTTAAATATCCAACATGAACTTAGCTTCAAAATAGCAAGCAAGGAGATGAAATTACAAGAAAACCAAAAGCTACAGATACCATGAAATCAATGACTCATCACACAAGTATTGCTTTCAGTAGTAACTAATTGCCAATTGCGCTAAAGCTAAACAAATTTATAAATACATCTAAGGGTTAATTCATAGATTATCTGGTTTCGGAAACCCATATTTAAATGATTTACAGTTACTTTCAGTTATGAAATTCATATTATTTTCACTGCAGCACTGCACCAAAATGTGTGTATTGAACAATACGTGCATGCACATCACGTGTAATTTGGACTAAACCGGTTAAAAATGAATCAGCTGCTCTCAAAGCATATTAAATGCCACTAGACCTTGAACGGGCTGAGAATTGACCAGCTTCTAAGCTCAGCTAAGGGCGTTTTGTCCTTATCTCTAGGGACAAAATCATCGGTGTCTTTCCCATTATGTAATGCAAAAGAGGAAAACATTTTATTGAAGACAGCATTTACGTCATCACCATGCGTTTTTACCTACACAATTAGAAAACATATATTGAATGCAGTACTCAATCAAAATTTGAATTCATCTTCATCGTATTTTCATTCTATAAGATAAAATTGGTGCATTTATAAGAAATCAAACCCAATAATATAAGGCTCTTTAAAAACTTGTCACAAAAATTGACTGAAAATTTTTGAAGCCTTTATACGTAAAATGTAAAAGTGTAAAATGTTTAAAAACAGATATGCATATCATTTGTATTTATAATGTTCGAGGAAATTCAATCATTCAGTCAATAATATTATAATATTACCTTCTTATATATCAAGCCAACTAATAAAGTGGTTGTAAATTCACATTCTCATTCTAGTCCTAGAAAGTAAGTATAGTTGACTTCCTTTTTTTTTTTTTTAAGTGATAAGAGTAGATGACTTTCATAGTTGCTTTCTTACTTTTACTTTTGTTATTCTTTGCCCCATTTTTGTTCTTTTCCAGGTAAACTGAACCACTCCTCAACTTCCCTAAAAACCTTCCATCACAAGGGATAAGTACCTGAGTTATATCATAGAACTTGTAAGTCCTAATGCCAAACCCTGAATTAAGAAAAACCGATGAGAACTTCCTTCATATCATTGACCCTTCTCACCACAAAGTCAAACTACCTCCCCTTAGTCTCACACTATCATTATCAAACTGCATATTCATTTCAAAACCTAAATCCCTTCATGCAATCAAAACATGAACATCATGGAAAAACCACATGAAATGGCAAACAATAGCTAAAATTGAATATTTCAAGAACTTGGAAGTCAGAGTGAGACAGAGAAAACCAGTATACAACTAATTTTGCTAAACTTTACCTAAATGTAGGTGCTCAGAAACAAATATTATTGAAAGAAACAGTGCATAAAAATATTCAATAGTCAACAGTAGTCCAGAAAAACAAAGCAAACATGTTTCTAGAGAATCCACTATCAAATCTAGGACTAAGAAGACCGTTACCATGACATTAAAAAGCTGAACTATGTCTCCTCTTCCTACAACATTAGGAAGCTGTTGCGAGCTTTCAGCAAAAATATTAACGAGCAGCCCAGGTTTCTCACATGATTCATCAATTATTCTTGAGGTACAATAGAAATCTGCAGAAACTATTCAAGTAAGCCAATAAGCAAGGGCAGAAAGCATTTCATGCTAATAACTCCAAAATAACTTCCAGTTTTCCACCTGAAGTAAAGTCATAAACCAAAACCTAGCCTTTTTAAGGTAAGAATCCAATAAAAGTAAGATGACCATAAAGGCACGAGCTCAGAAAAGCACAAATATGCAAACAGTTTGTACAGCAGAGGGAGTTTCCCAGAAACCTAAAACAACCAAGTTTAAGAACAGTTCAGCCATTTTGAACTTTACCCCACAAAAAAGAGTTTTAGTATACATTAGCATCAACCAAAACATAATCATGAAACTGGCTCAGAACATATACCTTGACAAAATCATTCATCAATCTACTACCAGTAAGTGAAATGGCAGCCATAAGTCCGGCCTTTGATTCTTCATCGCCAGTCAAAATCTAAACCAACCAAACTTCAATCTCCAAATACTTTGAAAAGTACAACATGAGTTTGAAAAAGATTGTGAAATCTGAATAATTATTGATCCATTTGGGATCCAAATTCATGAAATTAAAAAAAAAAATTGCAAGGTATTAAAAACATGACCAAAAATCTAGCCTAAGGTGATAACCATAAGGACACAACCTCAAAGAAGCACAAAAAGTATGAAAAGGAAAACAGTGCAGCAAAATGAATTTCCCACTTCCTAGAAATCTAAAACAACCAAGTTTAACAACAGTTGAATCACATTGAACTTCACCCACTAAAATAGAATACTTTTAGTGCATATTGATAACTGTTATCAACCAGAACATAATTAATCATGAAACTGGCTCAGAACATGCACCTTAAAGAAAAAAAATCGTCAATCTACTACCAGCGAACTAAATGGCAGCTGTAAGTCCGGCCTTTGATTCATCATTACCAGTCTAAGTCTAAACCAACCAAACTTCACTCTCCAAACACTTTGTAAACTTCAACATGAATTTAAAAGAAAAAAGTGAATTTTGAATGATCCTTGCTCCATTGGAGATCCAAAATTGTAACATCATATGCAATGTTTAAACAGCAGGATCCTTCAAATGGAAAGTTCACCAGTGCCCCTACTTCGCTTTGGCAAGCTAAACTCTGCTATAATGCCCGTTATGTTCACTGTTTGATTGATACACTTCATGGCATCTTGTATGGGAAGAAACTTGTAGTTGTCTGCAGTTTGCAATTCTCTCAGTAACTCTCTGAGCTCTTACCCTTGCCCGGCTCCTCTGAAAAGCAACCCTGCACCTCACTAAATAAAAAATTCATAATTCACAAATAATTTATTATAATTAAAAATAAAAAGAGGCTAAGATAAAAAATTTAGTCATTCTCTGGCTACTAATCCTTAATTCAAGTCTAACAATTTCAAAAAGGTTTCCAAAAATTTATTTATCAATAAAATAAAAAAATTATTTATGTTCTCCAATATTTTTAGCATCAAACCTATCATTGAATCATTTGATGTACATATATTATAAAAGAAATAAAACCTATAGAAGACGATTCTTTTTTATATAGAAGAGAATTCCAACACACTAGTTTCAAAACCAGTGACGAATCCAGGAGCTACTAATTTTGGGGTGGGGGGCCAATTTGAAATTCAGACATAAAGTGAGGGGGCCAAAATCTAATTTAACGTTTTTTACAAGTAAGAAATTATTTTTTTCCCAAAGGGGTATTAAAGTTTTCTTTTTTTTTTTTTTGGGAGGGGGGGGGGGGAGCCCCTCTTTGCCCCCACAGATTCGTCACTTCGAAGCTGCAATTTCTTTTGGGAACCAACCAAAAAGATCTAGCATTACTGTAAAACATAAATAAAACAAAAATATCAAGGCATCAGTAATCTTTCTTGATGAAAGGAGCCAAAAAGGGGGGGGGGGGCGGGGAAAATACATTCCAAACATACATTTTCACAATCAAAAGAACTGCGTCTCCCTATGGCAGCCAGAATTAAAACTTACAAGCAGTGAACAGTAAAATCTCAGTTCGTTCCAGATTTAGCTCCTGTTTAACAGCAAAAATCCGTTTTATCGAACTTATATTCAAGGTAGACTACAAGTAAGTGAGGATTTGTGCTTTGGAAACCCAAGTCTGAGTGAACTAATTTTGGAGCGATACCCGCGGTAAAAAGAACAAGAAGATAGAGCCACAACAGTTCGGCTCGTAAATGGATGACATGAGAGAAGAGAACAGGAAGTAGAAAATGAAAATGGTATCACTACTTGCAACCCCAACTCTCTTTCGCTGTTCCCCGGGCGATGGAGTAAGAGGCTAACCACCGAAATAAGGTGGCGGCAGCGGACTCGCACAGTTAGATGTGACCGAAAGGAAACAGCACCAGCTACGACAACTCTCCACTCCCGCAAAATGCAGCCGAGGCCAGGGCAGAGCCTCGTGGACTCATACATATTGTTATAAATAAAAAAAACTGAGCAGTAAGTTTAAAAAATAAAAATAAAAATCCGAGTGGCCCGTTTTTGTGTATGTCTGCGGTTTTTTTTTCCCAAATTTTGTTGATGTACACGTTAAAAACTATGCATTAGTTAAATATTTGACTGTACATTAACTTAATAATTTTTTATTATGAATTATAAAATAGAGTTTGTATAGTTCTAGATTAATTTTTAAGAAAATATAATTGAAAATATAAATTAAAAAACAAGTAATAATAACTAGTGAGATAATAATAATTAAGGGTTCTGGCATTAAAAAACAATAGTTAGGATATACAATTTATTTTGGCATTTATAAGAGTTTTTGAGTATTTTTAAAAAAATTATAATTTTTATTTATTATTGATTTTCACATTGAATATTTTTAAGAAAATTATAATTTTAAATTTATAATTAATTTTGACTTGTAATAAGATATTTAAATATATTTTTATAAAATTAAATCATAATTTTTCTTTATTTTTAATTCTGCTTTTTAATTTTATTTTTCAATTTTACTTAAAATTAATTTTGTTAATCAATTGTATAAATTAATTATATCACATGACGATTATATTTGAAATCTAGCTAGCACTAAAAATTAATCCCTTTCAATGTAGTGACCAAAAAAAAAATCAGGTTTTGCAAGATTTGTTCACATTCATAGTGAGCAATCAAATTCTTGGCAACATGAATAAAAGACAACTATCTGTCAATGTCATAAAAATTGTTGGTTATTGAGTCGATATATATATATATATATATATATTGCCAACTATTGACTCGATAATTTGATAAAGAATAACAATATATTTATAAAGTGTAAATAAAAATAATACTAAATAATCCTGCCATGCTAAGATGCCTACCATTCCATGAAGAGGGAGTTTTTTTATCTAATCTTATGCAGGACTGGAACAAACAAAGCTATCGTCACTATGAGGGACACCTAAATATTTTTTTAAAGGTTAAAAAAGCAAAAATATTTAAGAATTTTTTTACTAAAAGTGTGTTTGGTTCAAGTTGAGTGATAGAGGAGAGGGAAGGGTTTTCATATTATTGGTTTTGTTGGAGCTAAGGGGAGAGGAGAGGTTTTTAATGATTCTTTATTTGGTTTACAAGAGGAGGGGATGATAGATAATAACTAATTTACTATTATATTTTTATATATTAGTTTTAAATTTTTTTAATTATTCCTAGTAGAAAATAATTTTACACCTCATTTAAATTGCATGATTTCTTAAAAATTCAGTCTCATCCTATAATATTGTCAATATATGAATAAAAAAATTAAATAAATAATTATAATGATAACAATTTTTTATAAAAACAAATAACTGCATTAAATATATAATGAAATTTGATGAATTGTAATTTTTTTAAAAAAAATTCAATAAAGTCAGTCAAAGCCTAGGAGTAAAGCCCAATCTTATATGAAAGAAAGTTTTTTTTTTTTTTTAACTATGGGTGTACTTAGAATATTAAAAAATAGATAAGGAAAAAATAATCAAAAAATTAGAGGGGAACAATATGAGGGGAGGAGAGGGGAGGGGCCTTCTCTTTCAAAATTTCTTAATCAAATAAGGGGAGGGAAGCAAAACCTTCAACCAAGCACACCTAAAGAAAACACACCTAAATTCTTAATTAAGAGTGTCTAGTATTTTTAAATCAACAAAAATGCAAGAGCATCCATAATTTTTTTTTTTATTTTAACAAGCGCATCCTTTCTATATCTTCCTTAACAATTTCCATCTGTTTAACATTCCCTTCTATAAACAAGAATAGATCATGAACAAAAAATAAATGTGAGATGATTGGATCATTTGCTTTGAATTTAAATGCCTTCCATTCACTCCAACTTCCTTTAACATTCAAGATATTGATCAAATGACCTAGTCTTTCCATATAAAGAAGGAATACGTATGGGCTAAAAGGGTCTCATATTGATCAAATGACCTTGAATGTATGAAGCTTTGAATTCTTCTCCATTCAAAAAGAATCTCACAAATTCAGAACTAATACATGTCATAATGACATATCTGAAACATCTCCTCAACCCTTTATTATACAAAGTATTCTCTATGAAATCCCAATTATCTAATTAATGATATGCCTTTTCCACATCCACTTTTATTGCAAATAGCTATTATCATTGCGTTTTATGCTCGTGGAGTGGATAATCTCTTTTGCAATGGTCACATTGTCACAGCTCTATCTACCAGGTGATGAAAGGTTACATTGGTTTGGTTTGATAAGTTGATCCATCACCCTCAGAAGTCTATTAGCGAGCACTTGACTATGATCTTAAACAAGGATGGACCTACATTTAAGGGCCTCACTAAAATCATAACATCTCTTGGTTATAAGCTAGGTAAAATTTCACCAGCTCCCTTCAAAAATTATCATCCCCCCCCAAAAAAATATTGCTCTTGGCACCACTCAAGCTTTTTAAAAATTTCAGTCTTCATAGCTTGAATATTTTATCAGTCATACAATCAAGGAATCAAGGAAGTTAATGATATTTGTATTGGTAATTTTTAGGAGTTAAATTGGTTCATATTATATAAATATAAATATATAATAAAATATTGTGATTTTTTTCAACTTTTGGAATAAAATGTTAGTTTTTATTTTGTCAAGAATGATAAGGTAAGATTCTTTAATTTTAGATTTCTACTCATTCATGCTCAAAGCTAATAATTTTTTTTAATAACATATAAAATATTTTTTAATTGTTTATATTGAAAATGTTTATTCTAAAAGAGTATGATTATTTTCATATAAAAGTATTAGCTAAGATATTAATAGTTACTACTTATTCTATCATTTTCAATACAAAATTTGCTTATATTAAGAAATTTTTTTATTACTTAACAGGTATCTTTTTATAAGAGGTAGTCATATTTGAGATAGAGTTGGGTATTAAATGCAAGAACTTCTCCCAATGGGGACTAGATTTTTTTAATATATTATAATTTTATAATTGTTTTATTTTTTTTATTGCTTACGAGTATCTCTCTATTAGAGGCAATCCTGCTTGAGACATGGTCGAATACTAAATTTGGGCATATCTTCTAGCAAGAATTTGAACATTAATTTGTTATATTGTAAAAGACCAGCCCTTTCTACTAGACCCAACTCTTGTTGGTAATTTCTTAAATTTTTAATTTTAATGAATTTAATAAATATCTAGAATTATATTTCAAAAGTATTAATATTTATTTGATATATATATATATATATATGTTTTAACAATATTGGATATATATCTAGAATTTCTGGGTCTGTCACTTATCCTAAAACTAACATTAAACAAATAAATAGTCCACATATACTTAAGAGAGGAGGTGTGCTCTTTGGATTGTGCTGTTAGACTCCCGTCCCAACTGGCTCGCCGTTACACACACACACACAAGAAGAATGATAGGTACACATAGTGTGATTAGAGATTTAATCACAAACTATAGAAGTATGCGGTGATTGAGTCTTTTCAATGTAGCTTAAGCTAATTTGGTATAAGTGACAAACTAACCTAGTTTGTGACCAATGTAAAAGTCTGACATATTATCAGAGCCATGTTGATTTGGGACTAAAAAAATTGATATAAAAAAAGAAAGGAAAAGGAAAAAATAAAAGGAAAATATTAGAAGTATGACAATTCACAGAGTGTGATTAGAGATTTAATCCCAACTATATAAGTATTTGGTGAGTCTTTCCAAAATAGCTTAAGCAAGCTATTTTAATGTAATAAGTAACAAGTCTAAATTTGTGATTAATGTAAAACTCTAACACTCACCTACCTTTCTAGTCCAGTGGGTTCTAATTTCTACAAACCTGATTTAGGACCTAGGAGATTTTTTTTCTTTTTATTTATTTATTTTTTTCTTTTTGCTGTGAAACATTAGCTCCTGTGTTTCTTTATTTATATGAAAAGTTTTCGTTTGGCAAAAACCAATTACCTATAACCTTTGTCTATGAAGCGGATCAAAAGAGAAAAGAAATGCATTTTGCTTTATGTATCCGGACAAAGATTAGTATTTGCTATTGATGGATAATACTCTAATCCAGAAACAATGTCTCATACGCAATTACATAAAAATAAGAAGTTAAATAAATAATAAATCAAATTTCCCGAAAAATCATATGAGTTGCAACATTGAAATGATTGCGAAATAAAATTCAGCTATGTGAAAATAAAGTGCAACGACAAATGATGAAAAAAAGGTAGCAAGGTTTTGTCAAAGGGTCAATGGCAAGGATTTGGTCATAGCGTCACTAGTATAAAATTTGTCTTTTATAAGAGACTTTTTATATCAATTAAAAGGCACCCGCTATTAAAAGTAGAGGTAGTGGTATTTTTATAATATTATGATACCATTGAAAGACTTTTAACATCAGGTAAAAAATAACTGCTGAAAAAATATTTTTAACATCGGGCATAAATCCACCTGATGTTAAAAGGTTTTAAAAAATTATTATAAGACTTTTAATACTGTGTACCATCTCACCTGTTGTTGATTGTCTCCAAATTACTTAAAAAAAAAAAAACAAATTCCCACCTCTCTTCTTCTTCTTCTACGTCAACCCCTTCCCCAATTTCCCTCACAATCTCCCCAACCCCTCCCCCCACCCCTCTCAGCCCCCACAAACTCCTCCCCTCCTCCTCCTCCGCCCCTACCCCTCTTGACCCCTCAAACTTCACCCCTACCCCTCTTAGGCCCCAACTCCTCTCTCCTCCTCCTCCTCCTCATTCTTCCCTCTTCTCGATCGGGCACAAGTACTAATTATTTTTTAATTTTTAATTTATATATATTAATTAGTGTTTGATTTGAGTTTAACTTTTAATTTTTGTTCAATTTATTTCATTTTAATTTACTATTTAATTTTATTTGATTATTTTTAATTAGTTTTTTTTTGTATAATTGCTTGTTGGAAGTGTT